GATTCTGCTGAGGCCCTGGTGATCACAGAATCTGAATCCAGTAAGGAGTGGATCCTCGACTCAGGGTGTTCTTTCCACATGTGTCCTCACAAAGACTGGTTTGAGACACTGCAACAGGAAAATGATGAGTCTGTTCTACTGGGAGACAATAAAACTCATAGTATTGTTGGAAGTGGATCAATCAGGATAAGGATGTTTGATGGAGTTGAACGAGTACTGAAAAATGTCAGGTACGTACCAGAGCTCAAAAAAAATCTAATTTTTTTAGGTACGTTGGAGTCAAGCGGATGCTCGTTCAAGGCAGAGAATAACTGCATCAGAGTAACTAAAGACCCTCATGTCGTCATACAAGGAGTCAGGAAAAAGGGGTTGTACTCACTTATCAGAAGAACCGTTATTGCTAAGTCCATGTATTGTTTGGACTTAGCAGACTCAAGCAAGGGCTGAGGGCCCCTCAGGGGCCAGGTGGAGGGAATCTTTACTTCGAAGCTTCTCAATTGAGGGTCAAGGTGGAGAATTGTTATTTTGACCCCCAATTAATGAACTAAGGTAAAAGGGCACTTTTGTAATGTGGTACTGCTCACCTACCACATCTCACCCACCGTTCACCTACCGTTCACCTACTGCTCACCTACCTCCCACCAACCACTCTCTTGCTTCTATAAATAGAGAGGGTGTGAGGTCTAGGAGAGCAAGGGAAAAGATCTTAAGGGTGTGAGGCTTAGGAGAGAAAGGGAAGAGATCTTAAGGGTGTGAGACTTAGGAGAGAAAAGGAAAGAGATCTTAAGCTACCACAAAGGAGGAGAGAATAGCTAGGGAGCTAGAGAGGATGAGAGCATCTTAAGGCCTTGTATCAAGGTGTCGCTTGAGAGGGAGGCCATAGAAGGAAGATGAGGGCTCATCTCTTTGTATAAGCTATGTATTTTCAATTTCTTTTGCCTTAGTGAACTATTTGATCGATTCTCTTCCGTGGACGTAGATCTAGTTGGATCGAACCACGTAAACGATCTGTGCTTGCTTGTGTTCTTTGTGTCTAATTTCTATGCCAGAAAGTACATATCTCACAACAAAAACAAAGGCTCAAAATCGAGGGTCTTCATTGACTGCACCAATAGTTCGGCCTCCTTATCCACGTAAGCCTGTCTCTAACTAGTTCAAAGGAATGAGCTACCTTTCCCTTTTTGGGGAATTCTATTTTGAAACAAAGGTTTATTTTTTATTTTTGCCTCTAACTTGAATAATATATAATGAAGAAAAAATGAGAGAAGATATTTTCACAGTTTTGTTTATGATGAGTGAACTTTTTGGTGGCTAATAATTTGTTGATTAAACTATTTTTTCAGATATTGCCGTGGAATGAGAGAATTGAAGCTCCTGGAGCTCTTGCTCTCCCTGAATTTGAATTTGTTATTGCTATTGAGAGAGTTGATAAAGTTGCTCAACCTCTTGCTGAACTCATAGATGTAGATATGCCAAATTTTGATGATGATAGGACACCTCAAGGTCAGGTCATAGATGATGTAAGAATAAGGACTCCTCTTTGTACCCTGCCTATTGGTCGACTTTCACTTTGAGGGAGTGCATCTAAGATGCTAATACTGCCACTATAAATACTCCCAAAGTGATTGTCGGCAC